GACATAGATACTGGCATGGCTGTGGAGAAATAGAAACGCTTTTACACTGTTGGTGAGAGTGTAAAGTAGTTCAACCATTGTGGAAGACAGTGTGGCAATTCCTCAAGGATCTAGAACCAGAAATACCATTAGACCCAGCAATCCCATTACTGGGTATATACCCAAAGGTTTATAAATCATTCTACTATAAAGACATATGCACACATATATTTATTGCAGCACTATTTACAATAGCAAAGACTTGGAGCCATCCCAAATGCCCATCAATGATAGACTGGATAAAGAAAATGTGGCACATATACACCATGGAATACTATGCAGCCATAAAAAAGAATGAGTTCGTGTCCTTTGCAGGGACATGGATGAAGCTGGAAGCCATCATTCTCAGCAAACCAACACAGGAACAGAAAACCAAACAGTGCAGGTTCTCACTCATAAGTGAGAGTTGAACAATGAGAACACAGGGAGGGGAACAACACACACACAACACACACTGGGGCCTATTGGTGGGTGGGGGGTTGAGGGGAGTGAGAGCATTAGGACAAAAACCTAATGCATGCAGGGCTTAAAACCTAGGTGAGGGGTTGACAGGTGTAGCAAACCACCATGGCACCTGTACTTTCTGCACATGTATCCCAGAACTTAAAGAAAAAATAAAAGAAAGAAAAAAGCCTGATACTGCAAAAAAATTATTTTCAAATACCACATTGATAGATTACAGGAGAAAGACCATCTGATTTTCTCAAAAGATGCAGATAAGTCATTCAGCTAAATACAAAACCCATTAATAATAAAATTAGACATAGAAGAGAATGACCTTTACTTGATGTAGCCTACCTATCAAAAATCAATATCAAATTTTATAGTGGTGAAAATTTCAAACTATTTCTATCAAATTTGGGAAACCACTGTACTGGAAGAAAAAAAAGGAGGCATGAGAACTATGCAAGAGAGACAAAACTGTCCTTATTTGTCAATAATATGATGGTCTACCATAGAAAATCCAAGATAATCCATACATACTTGAATCAGTAAACAAGTTCAGCAGAGTTGCTGGATACAAGCTCAAACACAAAAACACAAAACACTAAGAATAAATAGTACTCCTTTATATTATTAATAACCATTTAAAAATTCAGGTAAAGAATACTTTCCCAATAGCAATAAAATCTAAAGGTAACTAGGAGTAAATTTAATCAAAGGCAGGTAAAACCATTTTGGAGAAAAGTGACAAATGCTATTGAAAGTCCTTAAAGAGGACCCTAGAAAGATATCTTCATGTTTGGGACGATTCCATATTACAACACTCTCACTTTTTTCAAAATGATCTATAAAGTCAGCACAACTGCAATAAAAATCCCAACAGATCCTTTTGTGGCATTCAATAAACTTAATCTAAAGTTCGCATGAAAGACAAAGAACCAATAGCTAATATAATTTTAAGAAAGAACAATGAAATGAAGGGACTTGCCATATCAGATATCAAGACTCATTATAAGACTGTAATAATATATTGTGGTACTGGCTCATGAAACATGATAGACAAGATACAGATCCATCCATATACAGCATTACAAATAATGGCCTCAGCCAAAGCCACTCATTCTCATGACCATATCGTAGACGTTGCCATTGTTGATAACTGCTACTCTTCCAATCTCTATTTCTTTTCTTTTCCTTCTTTTTTTTTTTTTTTTTTTTTTTTTTTTTTTTTTTTTTTCTTTTTTTTTTTTTTTTTTTTTTTTTTTTTTTTTTTTTTTTTTTGAGACAGAGTCTCACTCTGTCACCCAGGCTGGAGTGCAGTGGCATGATCTCGTCTTGCTGCAACCTCTGCCTCCCAAGTTCAAGCAATTCTTCTGCCTCAGCCTCCTGAGTAGCTGGGATTACAGGTGCCTGCCACCATTCATAGCTGATTTTTTGTATTTTTAGTAAAGATGGTGTTTCACCATGTTGGCCAGGCTGGTCTTGAACTCCTGACCTTGTGATTCACTGACCTTGGCCTCCCAAAGTGCTGGGATTACAGACATGAGCCACCATACCCGGCCTTCCAGTCTCTATTTCAAATATCCCATTCTTTGACCTCTACATCCTATCCTTCTAGCTTGCTTCCAACTCCAACAGTCCTTTGAAACCCTATAATCATGACTACTTCATTTCACCCTCACATTCCTATATACTCAGTTTAAATTCCATGAATAATTATTGCCCTCTGTTGCTTCATTCTTGCTTGGAAAAACCTCAACCTAGCTTAATGTCAACTCTTTGTGTATGCCTACATCCACAACGCCGAATATGACTAGGGCAAACATCCAAGCATGCCGACTGGTGTTACTCTCAATGCCACACCTCTGCTTGAAATGCTGTAATGGCTTCCATCTGACTCCAGGTGAAAGCCAAAGTCCTTATAGTGGCCTCTACAGCCTCTTATATTTCCTCTTCCACTTCTCTTCCCAGCTTGCTGTGCTCCAGCCACACTGGCCTTCTTGCTGTTTCTAGAGAAAGCAGGCCAATTCCCCCTCAGGCTTTAAAGACTTGCTGTATCTTCTGCCTAAACTCTCTTTCCACTGCCACCTGTATAGCTATCCTTCTTACCGCCTCCAGATTTTTTTCCCACTCAAATGTCACCTTTCATAGGGCTTACCTGATCACCTTATTTAAAAGTATGACCTTCTAAAACATATCTTACCCCGTCCCTAAATTATTTTTTTATTATACCAAATATATTATTTGATTATTAGCTGTTTTCCTCCACCAGAATGGAAGAGGCACAGAGGCAGGGATTTCATCTGTTTTGTTCACTTACTATATTTACAGTGCTGCCCCACGACAGAGGAACTTAATACCTATCTGTTGGATGAATGTATAAATTTATAAAGAACTGCTACAAATTAGTAAGAAAATTACAGACAGGAAATTCACAGAAAAGTAAACCTGAATGGCCAAGAATAAAGACAGGTACTTCCATAACCATTTAAAGTGTAAGGATTTAAAACTGTGAAAAACGTTCTTAGAGGAGGTAGCCCACAAGCTATAGAAAAACAGGTGGCAGACTTGGCCTGAGGGCTGTGGTTGGCCAGCCCCTGGCCTGGTGAGACACCTTCTCAAGTACACAAAGTCACATATGAGAGAACGTTCATGGTAGCATTATTTATAATGGTGGAAAATTAGAAATTGGAGAGATCCAAAATGGCAAACAAACAAGAGAATAAAAATGGTATATTCATATAACTCTTTTTATATGAATTTTTTTGAGATGGATAAACCTAAAAAAAATACACAATCAGGTAAAAAATGTTTTGCTTATTACATTGCAGAGATGGGTTCTTGCTATGTTGCCTTAGAGTTCAGTAGCTATTTACAGGTGCTATTATGGTACACCACAGCCTCAGACTTCTGGGCTCAAGAGATCTTCCTGCTTCAGCCTCCTGAGTAGCTGGTACTATAGGCGCACGCCACCAAGCCTGGCTACCAAAAACATTTTAAAAGAGTAGATATCATGTGCATGGAATTTTGAAATACTAAAAAAAAAATAAGTAATAAAATAGTAAGAACATGAAAGCGGATGATCAACATCAAGTTCACCATCGTGGTTATTCTTCTGTGGACAAAGGGAGGCAGCTGGGCTTGTGACTGGGTACATCAGGGACCGCAAAAGCTTCTGTAACATGCTATAACTTAAATGAGAATATGAAACAATTATGGCAAAGTGAGAGATCTGCTAACCCTTTGAAGGAGTATGGGTGCTCATTGCAATCGCATTTTTACTATTTGTAATGTTGCATAATAAAATGTATTTAGCTCACTGTGAGTTTAATTTGAAGCCTTTGGTGAGCACTTTATATTCAAGTACCGACACAAGATTTCACACCCACATTAAAATTTGGGTTAAGGAGCAAGTTAGTGCTAAATACAATCATGTGCTTTTGTGCAAGAAAAGAATAGAGACAAGGCGAACACAGAAACTGAGAATTCATACCACTATCACAGCATGCTCTTCAAAAGAAACAGAAAAATGTCACAGGGAAATTGAGTCAGAGGAAATAGGAGCACATACTGAGTAAACTCAAAGAACTATGTTTATGTAGTGAGCAGTGTTTTGGCTTTGGTAAAAATCATTTTTTCATATTCAGTTAGTTATTTTTTTTCTTTTTAATTATTTTTTTTCAGTTAATGTTATTAATTTGAATTTTTAGGCTTTATTATTTGGCTTATATTTAATTTGTAAAATTACTTTTGCTTTCTAGCTGTAAAAAAACTATAAACATAAGGAATTCACAACTGGCTTTTGCTTTGTACCTATTAAGGCAAGCTAGGTTTATGAGAATATTTTTCCTTTCAATGGATTTGTACATTTCCAAACCTGATATATTCAGTAGGCACTTTTTTGAGACAAGGTCTTACTCTGTCACCCAGCCTGGAGTGCAATGACACCATCACAGCTCACTGCAGCCTTAGACCACTCAAGTGATCCTCCCACCTTAGCCTCTCAAGTAGCTGGGACTACAGGTGTATGCCACCACACTGGGCTAACTTTTTATTTTTGTAGAAAGAAGTCTTGCTATGTTGCCCAGGCTGGTCTTGAACTCTTAGGCTTAAGCAATCCTTCTCCCTTGGCCTCCCAAAATGCTGAGATTACACTCACCCCGCTCAGGAGGCTCTTAACTGTGTTTTAGAGCGAGAAAAGCATAACGAAGTATCAACAGTAGAATAATGAGATTTTAGGTGCTTTTTTGTTTACTATGATGTTTTGCATTTTCCAAATTTTCTATACCAATTACATACATTACTCTAATAATCAGAAAACAAAAATATGTTAAAATACCCCTTAGCTATATTTCACAGTTTCATATTTACGGAAGGGTCACTATTTTATCATACCATGAAACCCCAGAACTAAAGAGTTCCTCTCCTAGGATCCAAAAGCTGTACCTGGTTTGTCACTTATCACTGTTACCCAAGATCAGACCTGAAAATATGACACTGGGTTATATCCATCTCACCTGAGTGTAGCAGTGCGGAAAATCCCTGCGCATCCCCCCATTCCCAGGTGGGTTCGCTCTTATTGTGCATGGGACGGAAGTCAGGAACTTCATGATACCAGTCCATGTCTGTGTTGCTAATAAAATAGAAAATGATAAAGAATGTAGTAAGGAATTTTTAAGAACTTGTATAGAAATGAATCTATTTATAGAGATTGAAACTTTATCTTCTACCTTCCCATACTTCCTTTTTCTAGAAATAAATAATGTTTTAAGGAACTATTGTAAAGACAAATAATTTATTTTGCAAAATGAACTAGATGATCTCTAGAATCTTGCAAGAACAAATTACTTGAGTTTGTAATTTGACCAACATTTTTTGCTTGTATCTGTTTTTTAAGAGAGTTTTGCTCTTGTTGCCCAGGCTGGAGTGCAATGGTGTGACCTTGGCTCACTGCAATCTCCACCTCCGGGGTTCAAGTGATTCTCCTGCCTCAGCCTCCTGAGTTGCAGGCATTACAGGTACCCACCACCATACCCAGCTAATTTTTTTGTATTTTTAGCAGAGACAGGGTTTCATCATGTTGGCCAGGCTTGTCTTGAACTCCTGACCTCAAGTGATCCACCTGCCTCAGCCTCCCAAAGTGCTGGGAATGCAGGTGTGAGCCACCAGGCCTGGCCTGACAAAAATTCTTTGAAAGAGATGTGCAAGCATAGCTTTGCTTCATTAACAGAATGTAAGATTTTCCAAATCACTACAGATTTTTGAAAGAGTCTGAAATATATCAGCTGAGAGCAAGAGCCATGCACACTCACCTGCTGGTGCAGTCTCCAGTGATAGGGTCACAGCTCCCTGCACAATCACATGGTCGACAGCCATAGTCTCCGAAGCCCCAGTATCCCACCATGCACCTGTCACAATGTGGCCCTGCCACCCCAGGCTTGCAAGGGCAGTCACCATTGCTGGGGTCACAGAATGTCACTGAGTTGGCAGGAAGGACAGCTGATCCTACTGGGTGGCAGGAACACGCTACAACAGAGAGGACACGTAAGGACCAGTGAGCGACTGTAGATCACCCAGGTGAAGATTAGGCTTGACCATCCCCAGAGACTCCCTTTACCACACAGCACATTTCTGAGACTCCTCCTTTAGCCAGTGAGTGTATGCTCAGAGAATGAAAGCTAACTAAATGACAGATAAGCAAGATATAATCAGAAAAGCATGTCTGCTGCAAAAACAAACACATAATTTATTCTAACATGGAAGGCATGAAATATGAATGCCTTTTGGTTGGGTGAGGATGAACCAGCAAAGAAGACAGAGTGGAAGCATTCAGCGAGAAAGGAAAAGATGTCATGAGAGTGTAAGTGTTCTGGAAGCCAAAAAACATTTCAAGGAGGAGGGCAGCATCAGCTGTGTCAGATATCGAAAGGTCAGAGAAGATGGGGCATGAGGTGGAGTGTTGCACTGAACAACACGAAGGCTGTTGGTGTTCTTCACAGGAAGAGTTTCAGTGTAATACATAGGGAGCAGGGAACCCAGTGGAAGAGGAATTGGGAGAATGGGAGTAGAGGAATTTGAGCATGAGAACAGATAGCTCTTTTGAGGAGCTTTTCTTTTCTTTTGAGACAGAGTTTCGCTCTTGTTGACCAGGCTGGAGTGAAATGGCATGATCTCAGCTCACCTGCAACCCCTGCCTTCTGGGTTTAAGCGATTCTCCTGCCTCAGCCTCCCCAGTAGCTGGGATTACAGGTTTGTGCCACCACGCCCAGCTAATTTTTTGTATTTTCAGTAGAGACATGGTTTCTCCATGTTGGTCAGGCTGGTCTCGAACTCCTGACCTCAGGTGATTTGCCTGCCTCGGCCCCCCAAAGTGCTGAGATTACAGGCATGAGCCACTGTGCCTGGCCTTCTTTTCTTTCCTTTTTCTTTTTTTTTTTTTTAAGAGAGGGTTGCACTCTAACACAAAGACCAGAGTACAGTGGTATCACCATGGCTCACTGCAGCCTCAACCTCCTGAGCTCAAGTGATCCTCCTGCCTTAGCCTCCTGAGTAGGTGGGACTACAGGCTGGAACCATCATGCCTGGTTGATTAAAAAAAATTTTTTTTTTGTAGAGACACGGTCTTGCTATGTTGCCCAGGCTGGTCTCAAACTCCTGGCCTCAAGCAGTCCTCTCACCTTGGCCTCCCAAGCGCTGGGGCTACAGATGTAAGAAACAGCACCCAGCCATAAGTCCTTAATACTAATCAAAAGTCCTTCTCCTCAGCCCTCTCTATACTCCCAGAATTGCTTATTCTCACAGTTTGACAACCTGCAGCAGTTTCTTTGCTCTTGAGATGGCAAAAATAGTTGAACAAAGCGTGTATATGTGTGTGTGCACATACATATATACATACTTTTTTTCATATATATGTATGAGTGAAATGTGCTTTTTGGGCTTATCACAAATTCATGAGCCCTAACTTCAGTTGGATCTCCAAACCAATGCTCATCAACACTGTATTTGTTTTCTTGAGACAGGGTCTTCTTTTGTTCCAGGCTGGAGTACAGTGGCGCTATCTCCACTTACTGTAGCCTCAACTTCCCGGGCTCAAGTGATCCTCCTGCTTCAGCCTTGCAGGTAGCTGGGACTACAGGCACATGTCACCACACACAGATAATTTTTGTACTTTTTGTAGAGACAGGGTTTTGCCATATCCAGGCTGGTCTTGTACTCCTGGCCCCAAGTGATCGGCCCACCTCAGCCTCCCAAAGTGCTGGGATTACAGGCATGAGCCACAGTGCCTGACAACTCTATTTATTCAATTTTACCTGGATTTTTAAAAAAATAATACTTCTTGGCTGGGCGCCGTGGCTCACACCTGTAATCCCAGCACTTTGGGAGGCTGAGGTGGGCAGATCACCTGAGATCAGGAGTTCAAGACCAGCCTGACCAACATGGAGAAACCCGTCTCTTACCAAAAATACAAAATTAGCTGGGTGTGGTGGCTCATGCCTGTAATCCCAGCTACTCAGGAGGCTGAGGCAGGAGAATCACTTGAACTCGGGAGGTGGAGGTTCAATGAGCTGAGATCACGCCACTGTACTCCAGCCTGGGCAACAAGAGTGAAACTCCATCTAAAATATATATATATACACACACACATATATGTTTCTCACAGTGGCTGTGAGAAATAAAATACATATATATATATATATATATATATATATATATATGTGTGTGTGTGTGTGTGTATATATATATACATACACATACACATATATGTTTCTCACAGTGGCTGTCTCAGAAATTCCCTAGGCTTCTCAACCTACCCACTTAGTCTGATTCTAATTCACTGTAGGGTCCTCTGGATAATCTTTTCTTCACTTCAAAATCTTTTTCATGCTCCCACTGCTTTCTCTGAGAACCAAGTGAGATGCTGGGAGAAACGTTGGTTGACGGCTCTGCCTCCAGCAGCCTCTGTGATCTCAGGCAAGAAATACGACTTTCCTGAACCTTGGTTTCTTTATGTCTCACAGAGAGGTCATGCAGGTGACGTGATTCTAAACGAAACTACTTCCACAAGGTGTATAACATGGTGTCGCTCACCGAAGAAGCCAGTTCTTCCTGCTGCATCTTTTCAACTAATATTCTCGACTCTCTTCTCTGCTTTTTTCCCTTGGAAACTTCTTATATTGATCACTTTTCCTTTCAATATCAGTTTGGCTCAAATCTCCACTACTGACTAACTGTATGACTTTGAGCAAGATACTTAGGCTCTCACCTCAGTTCTCTTGTCTGTAAACATGAAAATAAAAACAGGACCTACCCTCATGCAGTGATAAGGATAAAAAGAGATTATGTATGCAAAGCAGTTAGCGTGAAGTCTGGTACATGATTCATGGTAAATTAATTAACTAATTAATTCAATAGATAATTCTTTTGTTTTCTTTAGAGAGGGTTTCACTCTGTTTCCCAGGCTAAAGTGCAATGGCTCATCACGGCTCACAGCAGCCTCGCTCCCAGGCTCAAGTGATCCTCCCACCTCAGCCTCCCAAGTAGCTGGGACTATAGGCACATGCCACCACACCTGGCTAATTTTTAAAAGTAGTCAGGGTCTCACCATGTTGCTCAGGTGGTCTTGAACTCCTGGGCTCAAGCAATCCTCCTGCCTTGGCCCCCCAAAGTGTTGGGATTACAGGCATGAGCCACTATACCTGGCTGATAATTCTTATAGAGATATAGGAAGTATGTTTATGTGAGAAATGGTACCAGCCCTCAGGGAACTTATAGGCTTGTGGCAGAAACAGAGAAGTAAATAAAAGACTTGCATACATGTGACGTGCTGTAAGAGATATACATAAAGCACTGTGAGAACACAGAGGAAAGGCGAAGGCAACACAGACTGAGGGAATCAGGTGGGATCCACAAACAAGGCATCATTTAACCACCTTAGCCAGACTGTAAAAGATACAGAGGAGTCTGCAGGTTGAAAAGGAGGGCAAGGGGCCAGGTGTGGTGGCTCATGCCTGTAATCCCAGCACTTTGGGAGACCGAGGCAGGTGGATCCCTTGAGATCAGGAATTCAAGACCAGCCTGGCCAACATGGCGAAACCCCGTCTCTAATAAAAATACAAAAATTATCCAGGTGTGATGGCACATGCCTGTGGTCCCAGCTGCTAGGGAGGCTGAAGCAGGAGAATAGCTTGAACCTGGGAGGCAGAGGTTGCAATGAGCTGAGATCACATCACCACACTCTAGCCTGGGCAACAGAGTGAAACTCCATCTCAGAAAAAAAAAAAGAAGAAGAAATAAAAGGAGGGCAAGGAAGGCAATTGCTCGTTGCAGCTTGGTCTTTAGACATTTTTCTCAGTGCATCTTTTTAAAATAACTTTTTCATTTTAAATTGTGGTAAGAAGCATATACCATGCAGTTGACCATCTTAGCCATTTTTGGGTGTACCATTCATTTCCACCACATTTTATGTTTCAGCATTGTCTGAACTCATTGACAGAAGGATCTTTATCTTCTTATTTTTGTTTTTGGGGCCCCAGAACAGTGTCTGGTACATAGTAGATTCCCCAATCAGCCTTTGTAGAATTGACTTGGCGGGAATCCTACGTGAAAGGGCGGGGCCCATTTGGGGAATGTGAGAAGTTTAGTGTGCCTGAGTGTACACCAAGTGGAAAACAGTTGAAGGAGATGAGGCAGAAAAAAAATCTGTAGAGTCAGGTTGGATGGTGTTAGGATTCCAGGTTGTGGGAATGCCTAGCTTCTGAGGTTGAATTTTGTCCTATGGGCATAATGAATCATAAAAAGTTGTAAAGCAGAAATATGACATGGTTACAATTTAATTTTGACTTTGGAGGCATTAGACTACAGTGGGGAGAGGCTGGTGGCAGGATAATCCAAGAAACAAGAGACAACAAGGAAATGACTGAGACAGTAGGTGTCAGAGTGGGAGGAAAGTTTGGATATGAAAAACTTATTTTTAAAGTTAGAATAGATAGGGTTTGGGGACCAACTGGAAGAGGAAGAAAGAGTTGTTGAGGGACAAATAGAAGTTGAGGAAGATTTTCAAGTGTCTAGTTTATGAAACTGAATGATTAGTGACATTATTCACAAAGATCTAGAAGGGAGGACTAGAGAAAGTCGGGGCAGGTAGATCCATGTTGAGGGTGGAGATAGGGAAGGAAGGGAAAAAGAATGAGCTTAGGATCAAACACATTACGCTTGAGATGCTTAAATATATCCTGGAAATAATCTAATACTTAGGAGAAAAGTTGGGGTCACAAATAGAGCTTTGAGAGCTGTCACCCAATGGCAGCTGAAATTAGGTGGGCTAGATGAGACTTCCCAGGGCGCTGTGTAGAGTGAGATGAACAAGAATAGAACACGGTGGAAACATCCAGAGGCACTGGCAGTTGGAGGAGCAATAACTTGCAAAAAGCTTATTAAGGAAAAGGAAGAGAGAGAGAAAAAATAGCCACAGGATGAGAAGAAAGTTTCAAGCGGTTAACAGTGTCAAACAATGCAGAATGCTCAAG